AGTACCTGACAGGTATATCCGCGGTATCTGGCCGGGTGTTAAATACTGCTATCTCATTATCTGGCTGGATATGATATCCAGTGCATGATTGTATATATACAGTATATGATGCCATTATGCAAGGCTGCTCTGGTGAGCAGGTTTACCAAAACCCAAATTGGAAAGTTTGTTGGTTCAATAATTAGTGTGACAACAGACGCTATTTTGACATGCTGCACGAGCAGCCCGCAACCACCTGAAGAAAATGGGGTTGCCGGTCAATTGTGTTGAAAAAATAATAGGGTCGGCAGAAAAAAATAAGGTCGATCGGGAACCTGAACCACAGGTATTTTTTTAGGCCTCGTGACTCAATCTTTTGGGGGCCATTCACAAAGGATGTCCGGCCAAATGATGGATTTTCAGACCTCCCCCTTGTCCAGCATTGTCTGAATTAGTGACACCCCCCTCCTCCCCTTCCCCCGGACATCCACCATGCCTCGCAAAAACTCACACAACCTTGTATATATCAAGAGTAAAAAAAAATTTTTTACTTTTAGAACTTTTTTATAACTATAAATGTGAACACAAAAACATATAAATTACTAATTAAAACAAAATCTAGATTTTATCTACTGTTAACCGCATAGTCAAAATGCCAATTTCACAATGGTAAGGACTGCTCAAAATAGAGGGAAAAAGAAATTTGTTTTTGAATTTTTTTACATTTCGGACATCCGGATTGCTAACACCCACCCCCCCTCCCCCCTATGTCCGAGTTTGTCCTGATTTTCCAAACCCCCCTCCCCCCTCGGCTCGGACATCCTTTGTGAATGGCCCCTTGGTGACTTGTTACAACACTGGGACCATTACTGATGTTTTAAAAATGCACCCTGATGTGCTGATTTTATTATTTAACTCCGTCTAATGCCAGATGATTTAGTAAAATCAAGGGGAAACAACCTAATTCTATCAATTGTTAATCACTGCACATTCCTTAATTGGGCTAGCTAGCACTGGAATGGTTTTTCAAAATCTGTACTATGGATATTAATAGTGTGGTCCTATGGATCTTCGTTGAAAATAGTATGGAAATCCAATTTTCATACTAAGGGCCTGTTCATATGGGCAAAAGTTATCCCGGTTAACGAGAGAACTTTTCGACTAGCCAAATGCTTTTGTTCCGTTCATATGGAGAAATATTATCCCACTTACCGGGAAAAGTTTCCGGCTGTGACGTAGCACTGAACATCAATTGAATTGAAAAGTTGCTGACACGACAAAAGGTTATCCCGCTAAGCGGGAAAGTTGTGTTCATATGGCGAAAACATTATCCCGGTCACCCAGATCTCGCCTGTCAACAAGCGAGATCTCGGTACACGGGAAAACTTTTCGTCTCATATGAACGCAATGTAACTTTTCATATTATTTTCGTAACAAGGTGAGATCTCGCTCGTAAAATTGTCGAAAAGTTTTCTCGCTAACCGGGATAACTTCTGCCCATATGAACAGGCCCTAAGTCAGCAGGGTTTGAATTAGTTGAGAAAATATGATGTGCAACCTAAATGTTTATAAAATAGGTTCATGATTGTCTTAGCTACTCATTCAAACATATACTCAATCAAACTACAATAATTTAATTACTTACTTTTTAAACATTGTTTGTAATACTCTTTGATATACAAACCTAACCAATACATGTACAGTACATGCAGTAACACACACGTCAGTCATGTGTCTGTCATGGTAGCTAAAATTTGACACACCTTTCATGCTGCTAGTGTGCATGCAAAAGCACTTGTTTATAAATTATAAGACAACAGTTGGCTTTGTTTTTAAATGTATAAATATGGATGGATGTTCATTAATATTCTCAAGTCTGATTTTTTGGCACATCGTTGTGAAGAAGTGATGTGCAATTTTCACTATTTGGTTAGACTTTCCAAAGTCCTTTCCAGACCCCTCTATGGCTTCCGTCGCTCGGGTCGCGCGCTCCCTCCCCCGCGCTCTCCCTCCCCCATGGTCGACTTGTGGCAAGTCTACTATTTGGTGTGCAATTTTCATAATGTGCGAATAAACAACTTGCATGTTAGACAAATTTTTTATCTAACCGATCTAGGCAAAAAAAAAGTCAATTCCCGTTAAGAACTTATTAAAATTAGTAAACTTGCAAAATTTGGTTGCGAAATGTCGTAAAGCTTGGAAAATATAGCCTTGCAAAGTTTACATATTTTCTGTATATTTGTATTACGTGCGGAAATTGTTACCATTTTTGAGCCGAAAATATACTGAAAATATGCAAACTTTGCAAGGCTATATTTTCCAAGCTTTACAACATTTCACAGCCAAATTTTGCACTTTTACTAATTTCAGTATGTTCTTTTTAGCTGTGGTGTTTGATTCCCTTTTCTATGCTTAGATTAAAATTTAGTCTAACATGCAAGTTGTCCATTGCACATTGCACGCGCTGTTAATTCGAACCCTAACATGCAATTTTCATACTATGGATACAGTATATGGATATAATATGGATTTAGACTTTAGGGATGCAATCACAAATTCTATAGTATGAATTTCACTACTTTTTTTCCAGTGTATAAGGGGCTTTTCCAGTGTATAATGCTTGGCCATTAAAAGCAAGACTTTTTTAACCAAATCAGCCCCCCATAAATATATACAAAATGGTGCATTGGAGTACTTTTATTGCACACAATTCTTTGTATGACACTCATCAAATATTTTTATTTACATTTAATATATTTGGATATTGTCAGATGTTAGATATTAGATATAGGCATTTCACAAAAATATTGATTATAAAAATTATCGGTTTATCAATACATGTGCAACACCCAGAAGAAATACTGTTCAGTGCCAAAAACAAATATCTTGAAAGCGCCAAAAAAAGAGACATTTTGAATTACTACTGTAGGTTTTAACTTTTGAAAATTTATGTTACATATGTAGTTGTTGTATGATGCAAACAGAGCCAGAAAACGATTAATTTCGCACATGTTTCATGCATACAAATGACCATGCATGAATTTGTTTCTGTATACATTTTTCATGTGTAGTATGGTTTCTAGTACAATTCGGTTGGACTCGTAGCCCTCTTGGCGACTGAGAAAAAACGTGAAATAATAAACAATTATTGGATGAGGCTGAGCATGATATCAAGAATTATTCAGACCGAGGTCAATGTTATCTGCCGAAGCGAAGCTGAGGCGGATAACATTGACCGAGGTCTGAATAATTCTTGATATCATGCGAAAGCCGAATCCAATAATTGTTTTATTATAAATTTAAAGACATGAGAAACGTATAAAACGATTAAACGAAGTTTATTATTTATTGAAAGGTTAAAATCAACTTTACAATTTTAAAAGTTAAACTGCTTTGCGTTCTGATTATTTAACGAACATCTCTTTCAGTATTTTCAACTTCACTAAAATTGCACACAACTATTAAACAATCAATTCTATTTGCAATCAATGGTTAAAATCAACTTTACACAGTGGCGTAACGTTATATCAGGGGGCCCCCGGGTCAAAATTTTCGAAGGCCCCCCTAGTAGAAGTGCCAAAGGCACGAGTTGAGCGCCGTATATGCACGAGTTTTCTAGGGGGTCCAGGGCATGCTCATCAGGAAAATTTTTGAATCTAGACTCTCTGAAATGCCATTTCCAGGACTTTGGGGAGATATTTTACAGAATTCTGATGGTCAGAAAACGACATTGTAACATATCAGAGGCCCAGGCCAATGTTTTTGCTCTATCGCCTAAACCTGGGGGCCCCCATTGGGGTTGGGGGCCCCCGGGTTCTCCCGGTCTGAGCCCATAGTAGTTACGCCACTGACTTTACAGTTGTAAAAGTTAAACTGCTTTGCGTTCTGATTATTTGAGGTTTGTACCGTCAAATCTCTCAGTAGAAATTCTTCCTGTGAATCAGTCAACAGTGGTGCAGAAGCAGCTTCAGGTGTTACTGTGCACTCGTCTCTCGGTATCACGGACATCAAGCTGTTTGCCATCTTTGCTTTTGTGTTCTGGTCGGTCTTGCAGTAATTCTTGATGCTACTCTCGCTTCGATGACCGCTTACAGACATAATGTGACGAGCTTCAAATCCACTTCGGTCAAAGATGGTTACGGCTGTTGCTCTTATCGAGTGGTTGGTATAAATGATAGACAAATTAGCTTGTTGTGACAACACTTTCATTTTCTTCCCCAAAGTGTGTTCTCCGAGAACCATGTTGTCGTACCAAACTTCACTGTCTGACACCTGTCTTGTTTTCGGTCGTTGGAACAGATAATCATTTGCCGGGTTCAAATGAGATAAATACTTCTCAAATGAGGCCACAGGACATAATGAACCTTCGTTTGACATCATTATTCCTCCATCTTCTGCCTCGTCATTCTCCCTGTGGTTCTTTGTCAGTTCGTCCGTTGTTTTGACAACGAAGCGTCTGCCCTTGGCGTCGGTCTGTATTTCAAAGTCATCCTTTTTAAGTTGACGTAAATTCTGCCTCCCTCGGCGACAGAAGAACAACATAACTTCAAAAAAGACTTTATTCTGAAGTGTTGTTGGGTTATCATCGTTGAAAACACCACATTCGTAAAGTCTCTTTATGTCTTCGTCGGCAATGGCGGGTTTGTGTTTAGTTTTTGCAAGTCCTTCTTTCTTGAGTTTTACACATTGTGCAATAAACACTTGGTTGGCTTACTTGAATTCGGTGTCCTTTGTTATGTCGACGTTCAATATCTCTTTGAAGTGTCTATTTAATCCAAATCTAATAGCACTAAGCGAGCTCTTCTGGTATTGACTTCCATCTTGCTTTCTTGTTTCGGCATAGAACTGCTTTAAAATAGCGGCCAGTTGTACGGCATCTTGGGGATATTCTACATTCTTTTGACGAAGATACTCGTCAAAAATAGCTTTGCATCCCTTTGTGGCTTTCTTAGTACTGTCACTGTCTTTATCTGCTAATAATTTTGACAGGTCGTTTTCATCTAGCGAAGCAAATCTGCTGTAGGCCATTGTTTGTTTGTTTTTTTCGCGCGCTTTTGGGTTTGAGTTGTTGGCCGCGCCGGGGCTTGGGAACGACAGCGTCCAATAATTTTTTTTTTTGGATGCAAGTTCGATCCAAAAAAACAATTATTGGACGCTGATGACGTCATCGGCGGAAAATACGTAATAAATGCCGAATACTGAAAATTAGCCGGTGCTTTCTGACCAATTAGAAACGAGAATACATATTAAATGTATAATAATAAACGGTAATTCCGAAGCCCTAAGTCATCCCAGTGGTCAAGTAAATCATTCTGCTTTTGCATATACTATATATAATTTGCCAATCTTATTCACTGGTAACCTCTTGCGTGAAACTAATCGCGACGAATATCATGTTCGGTTGTGATCTTTTGTGATAAACACTTGCCCACGCGTGTTTTCTAGACTTTACTGGAAAATAATTTTGATAAAACTTTCGATATTTTTCCGATATTTTCCGTATTCGAAAAATCGAATATCGATATTAGTCGACTATATTGATATACAGCCTATGGGCGACTAAAAATGTTTTGCAATTTCAACCCCTGTCACCATTTTTTTAGGCTTCTGTTTTCATGTTGAAAAATATTACTGTTTAACCCACTGACGGCTCCCCTCAGCAAGTGAAATTATCTGTCGTGTTAGACAGTAAAATAATAATGTAGGGCGCATTGCAATGTAATGTGTTAAGCTATTATAGCCATGCAGGCTCGAATTTCAGGTATAGCTTGAACTCAGTACAGGCTGAAACTACTGTTGAACGCCACTGAACTAAAGTTGTTTATCTTTTGTCTTTTAAACGTAGGACTATCAGATAAAACCACGTGCTTATAGTCTGAACTTATAACGCCACATTTAATCTGTTCACATTTATAACTAAACATGTCACTCTGTTAAAACTTTTGACTTAAGACTTTTGATATGTAGCTTAAGTGGCGATACGGAATTAAATCGACCGCGTGTCCGAAATTCGTGGAATTTCACAACGATGTCCAGGCTATTATTGGCATCGTTGTAGCTATACAGTCTCAGTTTGCAGTTTCAAATAGTTAAAATTTGCAGTTTCGAATGGTCAAAATTTGAATGAGCTATAGTTTTGACAGAGTGACATATTAAGTTATGCAATATCAACAGATGAGTTTAGACTATAAGAATATATTAGAATATATTTAAAACTATAGTCTAAACAGATGAGTTTAGACTATAAGGCACGTGGTTTTATCAGATACAGTACTCCTACGTGTAAAAACCGAAATATAAACAGGGTTAGTTTGGTGGTTTCTAGATAATGTTTAGCACTGTATCTTAAAACAAAAGAACTTTTAAAACGTAAGTAGAATAACTTCTTGAAAAAAAATTATTTTCATATTTCGTTGTTGAGGTATTTCATAAAAGCAATGCAACAAACTTGACCTCATTTGCATATATTTGAGAGATTAGTGAAGATTTCATATCAGTGAAGATATTAGCCCGGATCAAACGACACGCAAGTCATCGCAAGTTTCATCTTCTGAGGGATTGGAATGAGGAAATCATTATCTGATAAATACACAGAATGAACCGATTCGAAAACTAGCCGCCACAATTTTGCATTCATCAGGCTCGTTGAGAAGCATGAGCATCCTCCTTCAACACAATCATAAAAATGAATTTTGGATTTTGACCAATAAATGTGGAAATAAGCTTTAACACGAAAACGAGGCTCCAGGGGCAGCGCGGGAGCCTCGTTTTCATGTTGAAGCTTATTTGCACATTTATTGGTCAAAATCCAAAATTCTTTTTATGATTGTGTTGAAGAAGGATGTTCTGCTTCTCTCCATAGCCCGTGAGAAACAAACTTGAAATCCATTCCATTTAAGGTGGTCCTAAGTTGAAAACAGTGTAGTTGTGACGTAATTATCGGAAGGGTGTATTAACTGTTTAATCAACATTTGAATATGCACAATGTTGCTCAAAGAAGAGTCAGTTTCCGTATACGGTCGATTCGCTTTAAATTACAAAATAGTGCTCTTTCTTTTTTTTTCCTTTACACATGCAGCAGACAAAATATGCTAGTAGAAAAAAATAATGACAGTTCTATTGTAGCAAGAGCCTAAATAAAACACAAACAATGATTGAACATCTATATACTTTGATATTTATATTGTAATTCTTCCAGTCTGAGCTACATGTTATATACGCCGGAGTCTGGCAATCTTATACATGCTGGCTTGTGCCGCATGCCATATAGCTATACTGTACATATGTTCTCAGGAATACACTTTTCTAGGAATTTGTACAACTAGTTTACACGTCAGGAAATTTTTATTTTGGGATTTTGTTGCCGGAGGAAAGAAATATTTTCTAAGTCTGCTGTATATACTTTATCTTAGAAACTGTAAGTTCACTTTCGGTCTTGAGTTTGTACCAGCCGAGTACTGGAGAAGTACGGCTGAAAATCTTGAATTAACGCATCCTGCTAAATATGTATATTTTGATCTGGGTTTTTTTTTAATTTGATTATTTTCCACACTTCATGTTGTTCCAAGCACTCGTTCTCTTTTTTCCATGCCTCAAAAGTTGCGATGTCCTGTGTATCGTTTGGTCTTACTAGATGAGTCTTAATTCAAGTGTTTAATTAGAGTTAATCTGTATAGATAAAAACAAGCCTCCCACGGCACAGGGTATAAATTTAAGAGGACGATCTCGTGAGTGCCTATATTTTGCAGTTTCTAGTACTTGTCTAGGCATCGTGGGGGCATTTGGGGCCGCAGTAATTAGCCACTGCTGTTGCGGTTACCCAGCCTGGTATAAGAAGCGAAATTAAAAAAAATTGTAAAATCGTTTTCAATATATATATCATAGAAGTAAGAAATCTCTGTTAATCTTTCATGCAATTCGTGTCATTGTTGTCTGGCAAGGTACGATGGTCTGGAAGCCCGGCAGATGTCAAAGTCACAAAACAGAAGCCCTTTGTTTGATGTTGAACTGTATCTCACCGTGTACAAATCCTTGTCTCAACTTCATTAAATATTATTCATCGTGGTTGCATTCACGTTTCGCCTATCCCTATATTGGACGATCACTTCATTATACGAAAATACAATCGAAAATACAATCATATATCTTGATAGACTATGGTCTCGCAGTTCGCATGATTACCAACAGCCAGTGCACATTCTCATATCTTTTGTTTCTCTAGTGAATTCTAAATGATGGTGCAAGACACATTCGAGAGTGGCGTCCTGACCAAGAGAAAATGTCCATCGCCATCGTCAGGAACATCGACACCACTCTCTCTCATTGAAAAGATCAAACAGAGTATCGCATTGGAAAAGAATTTTTTCTCGTTGGAATTTTTCCCACCAAGGACGCCTGCAGGGGCTGCAAACTTAATCGGAAAGCTAGAAAAGTAGAGTATAATATTTTATTTGTTACATAGCTTCGCGATGTATTTCGTTCGAATAACAGCTGCACTGTACAACAAGAAGTTCAACGAAATTAATTCCTCAGGCCTACCCCCAGGATAAAAGATTTGTAAAATACTAGAAAAAATTGGAAAATGTCCCCTTTTCTCAGAAAGTATACTGCTTGTATATGTTGTTTAACTGAATGAACAAACAGCAATATTTTATCCAGATTTGTTTGATATTAATATTAATTGAATTAGAAAGTCGCGAAATTCGCTAAACTATAAGCTCGTCGCAAAAGGTTTTGGGAATTAGAAGCGCGACAGAGAGAAATTTAAATCGATTTGTCGTGACCCATGGTCTTTACAAAATAATGCACGCGTAATTGGTTCGTACTGCTTCTGAGAGAGCTGTGATTGGCTTAAGGAATTGCGTCACTGAAATGTTATCCTGGCATCTATTCTATATGGTAATTGATCATGGTGCCCAAGTACCTCGCCGTGCACAAACCCTTGGTCTCAACTTCATTAAATATTATTCACCGTGGTTGCACATTTCATCTCAGCTATCCCTATTGGACGGTTACTTAATTATACGAAAATACAATAAGCTCAATCACCGTCACCGTGCATCAGACAAAAACATGCAGTAACACAATGACTGCTGTTTAGTTTCCAGACCAGTTTGGTTTGTTTTGCGACTTTATTTAAAGATGGTAACACTTTGGCAGTAATATAAGTAAAACTGATAAACCATCATATTTTGATAGACTATATGGTCTATTGAAGTACCATTCTTCAAAGCCTAGTTTATGGGTTACTGGTTCTCTAACTTCTCAAATTTATTTAAACGACATATTTTTAAAAAGTGAGGTTTCCTGGTTAAAAAAACCCCATTGTAACCTTACTCTCCTTCGATAACAGTGGCGTGTCCAAATTAAAGGCAGTACCGAGGCCTGGATTATAGGAAAAAGGCTATAGAGATGAAATTATTGTTTATTTTGCTAGATTTTCATCAGGCTCCCCATTGTTTTGTGACATCACGTGGCATGCTGCAGGTGACCCAGGCGGAGACAACGAGACAAGTTCTATGCATATTGCTGGTGCAGCCTTGAATTACTGTGGAGTGGAAATTATGTTGCATATTACATGTGCAAATGAAACCAAAGAAACTATTACCAGACATTTATACAAAGCGAAATCTATGGGCATAAGAAACATTCTTGCATTGAGAGGCGGTAAGGGTGTTTACAATGCGTCGATTTATACTACACACGATGATTTTACAAATTTTAGATGTCTATACAATTATGAATCAGAACGCCGAGACGATAAATTTCACGTGTAAAAACTATCCCCTTTACACTATTTCTATTTTGCGTACCTATGAAAATATCTAGATTAATTTTGTAGAATGATGCAGTTTTACTGAACGATGTACTTGATAAACATAAGGTCCGAAGGAAGAAACTAGTCCAAACGCCAGACCAATTTTTAAGTGTGTAGAAAGCTACATGTACTTTTAAAACATTGATGAGTTTGAGTAAAGCTTTCTTGGCTACGACAGCGACCATGTCGAGAAATTGAACCTTAAATTAAAGGACAATGGGCAACAAAAAAATTTATTATCTCATGCATATGAAATACCGTTTAAAATTATCTATAAAATCTTGTTACAGATTTTTCATATCAAGCTCAACTTTTGAAATATTTTGACTGAAAGCAATGAGCTGTCCGCCATCTTGGATTGATCTTAACCTCATTAACTATCGTTTTGAATACGTCAGGAGTGGCGTTAGCCTTGCAAAATAACTTTTAAGTTACTGAGCAACAGTCAAATATTTTTTTAAATGTTTTTGTTCAAATACAAAATAATTGAAATGGGAATAAAAAACGCGAGTTTTGGGTTCATATTGATCAAGATAATTAAGTTGTACTCTTTGATATTTATCAGTTTCTTGTTTCTTTTCCAAGATCCACCTCACGGTGAAGATTTCGAAGTGGTTGATGAAGGTCTGGTATATGGCACTGACCTAGTGAAGCATATTAGACAAGAGTTTGGAGAATCCTTTACGATTTGTGTTGCCGGTTAGTAGCTTTTCACAATATATTTGATTAATTTGTATATATAGGGCAAATGATAACTTTCACGCATATTGTGTACACAATCATTCAAGTATATTATTCTACACTACGTACGTGGTATTATGGAATACATGTAGTGCGCTTTAATAATGAAAATGACTTGTTAACATTTTGCCGTTATTTGTTATATGCATGCTTTAACATTTTGCCATGCATGGTTGTAGACTGTATACAGTATGACGTCATAACGTAGCAAGAAATGTTGAAGTTGTGCTCTGACAATTCTGCATCTATAATTGAATGAACAAACAGCAATGTGTTATCCATATTTGTTTCATATTAATAGTAATTGGGTGGAAATAACTCTGGGACCGCATTGGAAATGAGAAACATTTCTGTGTGGTCTTGCGACAGTTCATAATTGTATCGTATAAATGTTTAACTCTATAACAAAGCGTATTCGACTGGATTAAAGACACCATTTATACCAGCTTCTTCTACACTGGAACCTCACAGTCGAAAGTATTTTCATGCGGCTCTGTGAACGGGGAAATATCTGCTACTCACGCGTGACTTTGTTTGGTTCTCCGTTTACAGATTGCATGGCTGATAGCAACACCTAGTTATCCGTCGCCCGTAAGTATTGTGAACATAAGGGTGGATTTTGCTTATATTTGTATTTTATTTTTTTCAGGTTATCCGCAAGGCCATCCTGACTGTAGTAGCTATGAGGAAGATCTGCTTCACCTCAAGGAGAAGGTTGATGCTGGTGCTGACTTTATCATTACTCAGCTTTTCTTTGAAGTTAAAACCTTCCTCAAGTTTGTTGAAGATTGTCGTGAGATTGGGATTGATGTACCCATTATTCCAGGCGTTATGCCAATTCAGGTTTGTTACCGTTGTCTTTTGGACCACTTTGAACACTATCTTTCATTGATAGGAGTTCTTTATTTTGAAGCGAGATAGCCAGGGAGCCGAGTTCTTAGTGGCATGGGCTGCAGAATTTAGGGAGCCATGGAGCGACAGTGCCACTATGTCTTCCATTAAGGATTCTGGAGTTACAGCTAGCCAAGTCCAAAAATCATGTGAAAGCAATGGAGCTGTTATCTTAACCTGGAGCTATTGGTCAACTAACAACTCTAATAATCATGTAGAGCTGGTTATCTAAGAAAATTCAAGTACCTGAAAAATAAAAGGAGAACTTCGACGTTTCGAGCGAAAGTCCTTATACAAACTTCCTAACAAAAGGCCTTCGCTCAAATTCTCAAAACATCGGAGTTTAGCTTTTCAGGTGGTTACGTCCCTATAATTCCGATGTTTTCTTAGATAACCAGCGATAACCTTTCGCGTATAAACTTGACACTTGCTGGACATTTCCCTCACGAATCCCAAACGGCTCATCACCAATTCGAAACGTTTCTGTACCATATTCATTTTTCTGTGTCACATGCAGCACGAATGCTATAGAAAATCATCTCGGTTTTGAGTCGTATCCGAAATCTTTAATCCAGAAACAAAGTAGAAACTTTGTATCCAATACAATTTGACGTGTAAACGGCTAGCCCGACGAATTTGTTCTGCTTCCTATAAATACTGTCTTCGCTTGTTTATACCAATCCAACAACAGCTGAATTTATAGAAAATTTCTGTTATTCATCTTTTGTAAAGTGTCGCATCCCAAAACCTGTTTTCTTAGTGTAAATGGTAACATACACAAGTTCCGCTGTATTATTGAATTACTTCATCAATCTTATAGAGTTACGATTCTCTCCGACATTTGGTTAAACTATCAAAACTCAGTATACCTCAAGAGATCCTTGATGCAATCCAACCAATCAAGGACGACGACTTGGCCATTCGTAACTATGGCGTAGACTATACCGTAAAGATGGTGAACGAACTATTATCCAGTGGTGTACCTGGCGTTCACTTTTATACTTTGAACCGAGAGGTAGATATATAACTATAAAGATGATTAGATAAAAACTTTTTATTATGTACCAGGTGACAAAGTTATGTTTTCTAATTGGATCTCGTTGGACGAGAGTTGCATATTTCCTGAGCCGTGAATATTATATACTTTTATACTCATACCGGTGAATTATAAAATCGTCGAGTTATTCAGCAAAAATTATGGAAGTTCCCCGTTTCTTTTTGCTTTTTTTTTTGTTTTGTTTGACACTTGGTATATTAATAACTTACTGACCGAGAGTGAGGGCAGTATGGGAAAATATCAAACCGAGGACTTGCTCATGTATTGACCGAGCGATAGCGAGGTCAATACACCAAGACCGAGGTTGGATATTTTCCCGCACTGCCCGAACGGTCCGTAAGTTTTTTATTATACGTCATTGTACGTTTGTAAAAGTATGGGGAAAAAAGGTCACGCGAGGGCAAAGTACAAAGTCCGAAACATTTGCAAAGAAAACAATTGTAAAAAAATGTTCTCTTGCTTAGTAAAATTACTCTGCAGGACTTTTTATAGAATGTAACACAGTTTGGATAGTATTTCAAGAAAAATACGAGGTATTTCGTTATTTAATCAAAGACAACAAATATGAAAACATGCAACCATACTGTATTAATAAACAGCATCAACAAGTACATTTTTAGTTCGCTTCATCTCGTATATTTAGTCTTTTTTATCTAACAAAAGCAGAAATTTATAAGAAAAATATAAATCTGTAGCTGCTTAAGTTGTATTTTTTATTTGGACGGTGTCAGATTCCTCCTGGCCATCTAGCTGCAAATAAAATTTGCAGCTCTTCACATAATCAAAACACAACTATTCTTGATCGCTTTAATAGTTAAACACATTGTAAAATTTACCTTGTAAATTCCACTTTCGCTAACAAAAACGTGTTGAGAAAGTTCTTAACCATGCACAGCAGTTGCTAACCACAGTTGCTGTTTTTCTTTATTTGAAGTTTATTTTTCTTCGTTTTAAATAGTTTGAAAGACTTTTTAGACACTTTCTGCCGTTTGAAACTCGGCTCTCGTCGCAGGACAACATTGCCCGTGGGCAATACGCGAAAATCCTGCCTCGTCAGCAGCCAATCAAATTGCGCGATTCATCAAAACAAATGCTTGCCATATAATAAAATATAATACTTACTGCGACTTTCAGGAAACAGTATGATTTGTGGACAATTTATTCGACCATCCAAAAATAAACATCTTGGCAAGCTATATATTTCGAGATTTTATGATATGATTTTTGAACATTAGTTACTGTAATATAGAAAATATCGACAGGTATAAATGCTTTTGAATTTCAAGGAGTTTTACAATCGAAATGCGAATAATGTTGAAAAGGAATGTGTTTTGTGTCTTAGGTTTATTAAAAGCAGTTTAACATTTTGAATGATGGTTTTTAATGTGATGTGAGCATATACGGACAACATGCAATTTTGAAACAAATCATTAAATTTTCAAATACTTTTGTGAATATCTGTATTACAAGGCTGGAGTTTCGTACATTCTATATCCTAACTGAATCTAAACGCTTCCTAGATACAGCGAGGACGAGTTGATTGACTATTGTCCGAGTCAAATTTAACATCAAAAGAGCCAGGATCGACGAGTAAGATTATGTAAATATCTTCGCAATTTATTGTCATTGTAGGTTGCTACGACAGACGTTTTGAAACAGACTAATTTGTGGTCATTGGAGCCATTGTACGCGCGTTCGTTACCTTGGAAACCATCGGCAAATGTTAAGCGAATCAAAGAAGAAGTTCGTCCAATATTTTGGGCTTCCCGAGCGAAGAGTTACGTACACCGCACATCCGAGTGGGATGAATTTCCAAATAGTCGATGGGGAGACTCTGCGGCAGCTTCGTTTGGTGATCTCAGCGACTACCATTTGTTTTACTTACGAAACAGAACGAAGAAAGCAACATTGTTAAAAATGTGGGGTGAAGAATTGACGTCTGTTCAAGATGTATATGATGTGTTTGTGTGCTACATCAGTGCAGAGAAAAATGCCAATGGAACAAAGGTAGTTTCTACAAATCATTCACTCATTTTGTTAAAAAAATACCCTGTCTTCTATTTCTGTAAAACTTTCGATCCAGGTTCGCCAGAATATTCATCAGTAAAAAATAACTTCATCAAAACTTACGATTCAGAGCCTTGCAAAATACGATGTTTCTAAACGCGGTGTTTCCTACAAAACAAAACAATTTTTATCACTACGTCGATCAATGAATTATAGAATGATTGGATTGGAAGAAATTATTGCGGGCAGTTGTTAGTGTTTATCTTACCCAAAATAAAAAAATAACGATAGATTGTGTTACCCATTTCCAAGAAAGTCAGAAAAAATAAGCAAGGATTTTCAGAACTATCGATCTACTTGGCCTATACATAATGCCAAGTAGATCGATACCGAGCCTGAGGCGCGCGAATAATTGTTTTTGTAGTTTTACACAAGTCTTTTCTGTTTTTGGGCCTGAATTTGTTTTAATTTCGCTTATTTCTTTATCAGTAACTTCCAGAAAACGGCAAGCCGCCATTTTGAAAATTTCGGTTTTTGTTATACGTCAAATTTGACCAATCAACGTGTAGGATTTGTTATGTTCACTTGTGCAAAAATACTAATATAGGTAATATTATCATTTATGCAATACCACTACAACAATGACTATACAAGTAGATAATAATAACTAAAATTAATGCGTAAAAATATTAACATGGTCAGCTGGGACATGCAGGCGTGATATTATATTTTTTCCACATGTAAATATTTTGATCCCGACTACTTCCAGTGAAGGCGTGCTAATATTTTCTGTGGGTCTGTAGCTCCAATAAATCCACTCATGCAATTCTATAAGTACTTTTCTTGTATTGTTTTATTCCTAAGGTGACCATGCTACCCTGGAATGAAGACGAGTTAGCGCCGGAGACGTCGCAGGTTTCTGAAGATCTTGTTGAATTGAATCGCACTGGAGTGTTGACAATCAACAGTCAACCACACGTGAATGCTGCAAAGTCAACTGACCCAGTCTTTGGTTGGGGTGGAGCTGGTGGATATGTTTATCAAAAGGTATTGCATAGTTTGTTGCATGTGGACTGCAGATATGTCGCAATCAAAATTGCAATATATTTAGTCGCATGACGGAAGTTGTCCGTTTTATACCGTTTTTATGATGACACTTGCTGAGGTCCTTCCTTGATCTACTCTCTTGGAAACCTTTTATGTAAGACATGACCTGTACAAATCTATCTTTATTTATAAAATCTTTAAAAACCACACCGTGCTCCCAATTTCAAACAAAAGTTTATTTCGAAAAGCGAAAAAATAATATAAAAAATAATAAGAAAAAGTAATATAAAATCTGTCACTTCCAATATACCTAAAGAGAATTTCTTAAAAAAGTTAAAATACAGCGAAGTTATGTTATGGAATGTACTTCTGGCTGTTGTTAGACAGGTTCCATTGATCTATGCCTTTAGTAAGCCGTCCAGTTTAGACAAAATTGAAAGAATGTAGAAAAAAACGGGTTTTTTATTATTATTTAAGTCTATGTTTTGAAATATTTCGAGTATTTTTCGATAGTTTTGAGGTATAGCGATGTTTAATTTGATTTTTGCTTACCTTACGAATAAAACTAATTACTATTCAGTGAGTGACGTCGCCCATAAGTAGGCAATCAGAACTGCAGAATTATATTGTTATCTATACACTTATTACGAGAGGCATATTTAAAGGTGATCTACAGTCCGTATGTAAACAAAGCCTTTGTTTACATTTTTGTGTCCAAAATATTGAGCTTTATTCGACAACTATTTATATTTTCAAGCTTCTAGAGTATAATAAATGATCACGAAACAACAATTAGGCTTTTCACCTTTAACAACTGAAGGCAAGCGCAATTTTATTGAAGATTTGAATATTTTATCGTCAAATAGTTGACACGCCTAGCCACTAGACTTCCTATGATTGCACATTACGTCACGGCTTTCATGTTGGTGCTATTTCAACGAAAGAGTCTAATTATCTTTCATTGAATTCGGCACCAACATGGTGCTCGGTGAACATCTTTATGACATTTTGTATTTTATTGTAGGCATATCTGGAGTTCTTTACTCGAAAGGAACTTGTGGACAAATTATTGAAAGTATTAGAAACGGATTTTCCAAGTGTCAGCTATCATGTTGTTGATCATAAAGTTAGTATAACTTATAACATAACAGTTGTCTTTGGAGTCATCGAATTGTTTAATTATTATAAGTAACTTACTTTTAAGTAAGTTATTTATAATAATTAAAATGCTTGTCACTTTATAATTTGGGCTGCTGTTTTGGAGTTTTTGGAAGGATGTTCTCAAACAGATTCAAGACGTTGCATTGAATATTCTCGTGCCGCTGAAGTCAATATGTATAAAAGTGGAAGAGATATCTCGGTAATCTGTTGCACGAGCAAACCATAGGTGCCCTGATGGTGGCTCTAAAATATCAAGCTTGAAATAGTGTCCAAAAATTGTTCTCAAAATTCAGGCCAAAATTAAATTTGATCTGAAAATTAAATTTGATCTGAAATTTAATTAAATTTGATTTGAATTTTTTCAAATTTGGTCGGACACTTTTTCGATTTGACTTTGTGTCTATCCGATTAAATTACGTACAGTATACTGTAAGTATAGAGAAACTTCTTGTATGGAAAAATGCTTTTAAATTTTGCAATCTTGTATTTTTTGATGGGTGATCAGACACAGTCTTTGGTTAACCTATTCTTTCAAGAAAATAGATTGCAGGACGAATTTAGCATTCGGTCGAAAAAAACTGCAATTTGGTCGGAAAACGTCGGATATCCCATCGTTATTTGAGCCCCTGAAATAGAGTTAAACACTTGATGTCAACCCTTTCATTCTGGTTCACTTTGTCTATAGGGTGAGGTTGATATAATCAGTGAAGATTTGGCTTCTCCTGTTGCTGTCACGTGGGGAGTATTTCCTGGCAAAGAAATTATTCAACCAACAGTTGTTGATCCTGTCAGTTTTCAGATTTGGAAGGTATACATATATAGAAACTTTATTTAACCACGCTAGCCTCAGCAACCGTTGAGAGGCTTATTTCCATGAGGAAATGTAATGTGAAATGTAACTATTTACGAGAAATGACGAAATATGAGAAAAGATAAAATGAGACTAAATTACAGTCACAATTAAGGTGATTCTTAATGAAATCTATATATAATAACGATTTGAAAGAGCTTAAGGGGCCTCATGGGGAAGGTTATTCCAATGCAACGCACCATTATAACTGAAGCACCTCTTGCCGAATTCTCTTTTCGGCATAGGTGGCGCTAAATCAGTATCCCTATTTCTGAGATTGTGTGTATTGTCTTTCATTATTAAATTGAAATGCTTCTTTAAGATTGGGTGCGGTGTGGCCATTCAAAATTTTATGGATGAACGGAGTGAACAAGATAAATGAAGAGAAAAAAACTATTAAAACATCATAATGTAAATTTAAGATGCGGATGACTCAGCCTGAAGTGGATAACATTAAGAAAAATATAAAGCATTTTCCGCATTTCTATATAGTTATAAGAAACACGTGTGGGAGTTTGGAAGAACGAGAACTATAACCAGTGGGAAAACGAGCTCCAAGGGCGAGTTTCCCCACGTTATTTCGAGTTCTCCGAAACTACCAGAAGTGTTTCTGTATAGTGTATATGGAAACGCAGGAAAAGTTTTTTCTATTAATATAATTAATATCCCTTTAATATAATTATTTATTTTTAAAATTTTTATTTATAATTATTTAATTATTATATATTTCCCTTTAATATAATTATTTAATTTCCATTGCCATATCCCTTAACTTTTTTAAAGAAAAGATTTTAGCCGAATTTCACGATTAATTTACAAATTCGCATGATACTTCTGGATAAAGACCACTTGATCGGTTGCCCAACCTTTGTTCGTCAATGTCAAGTCTTTGTCGTCTTCTTTATTTAAACTGAGAATACCCTTTTTGTCTTGTGGAGTATTTTTTCGAGTACAGCGCATATATTAAAGTGGTTTTGCTTACGGCAAATTTCCCGTGTTTCCATGCATGTATTTGTGGAAACACGCTTCTCAACCAATCAACGGTCGCGTATTATAAAATAAAATGTTATTTTATAACGATAAACTAATGAATGGTTAAATTAGTTAATAAATAAATTTAATATAATTCAATATAGATTATTGATTAATAAATTAATTCATGCATTGATTAATTTATTAACAAATGGAATTGACAGTTGGATATATAGCAGACTGCTTTAATAAATGGATATAGTAATTGATGTCATGAGAATCTAATAATTGTTTTACTAGGGAAATGCGAAGCATCATGTGGCGGCAGAGCTATACATGCTAAAATACGAGGAAAACATTTAAACATCGCTGCTGATCATTAGAGAAAAATGGCTGAAATGCATATAAGATGCAAATGAGGATGTACACAAAATGCATTTTCTTTTAAGCACTCCAAACTAAAACAATGTAATAGCTATATATTAGCTGCAAGTTCTTGAATTTATGAATATGTAAAAAATACAAAAGTGGAAGTAAGTCAAGAAAATGCATGATAATGATAACACTGATTTGGGTTTCAAACATCGCTTACCTTAAAACTATGGAACTGTTCGAGTATTTTCGATAGTTTAAAGGCATACTGTAGCTGACTTTTAATATAGGAATACATATACTGTAGGGCGTGGGGTGGGGGATGTGCTTACTACATGCAGTGTATATTATTACTATATGCAATGTTTGTTATCGCTGATCCAGAACTGCAGAATTGGATTGTTCTATCTGGACATCTATTACGTTTTCGCTATTCTAAGGCACCTGCCTTTACAGTCTTATAAAAAATCAATATTTTAGTTAAATTAATCAAACTTATAAGATTGTGAATAATGTCGAAGATAATATTGATAGAAGATATCACTCCGTGCGCGTTTACACTGAAGGACCGATGACCCGAGTGACAAGTACGAAATGTTTGTTGTAAATATACAATGTAAAACTTATATATATAAGAATAATAGATTAAAAATATTTTAAAACTAGGATAAAAGTGTAAATCGTCTGAGGTTAAGATGAAAACGTCGAGTAAAATTTCTTTTAATATTTTGTTTATTATAAATAACTTTATTTAATGCCAGATGATTTTGCTAATTAAGACAAAGTGTTGGGGATTGACTGGTTTAATCGTTGCGGAAGACTGTTAAGCTGCACGTGTAAGCTGCAGTTTGATGACAAAGTTCAATGACATTATCAATAAAAATAAAACAATATAAACTATTAATAGAAACAGTATTAAAAAATTAGCATCTGCATGTATTGGAGTGGGCGGTATATTATTCATTTAAATAGTTTCAATGAAAAGTTCATAGGCTATAAGTGGATAATAGAGAGTTTTAGATTGACGTTTACGACAAACATCAAACCGCTAACGAAGTCTGTGATTTTACAACGCCAGTTTTGAAATATATTAAGCAATTATTAAACTTGTGGTATTTAACAATGATTTGAGAAAGCAATCAACCACTTGTCGTCAATGTATTCACGAAAGCAGTAAATTAAGATCTGGCGTTTGAAGTTGACCTTTGTAGTCGTTAAAGCATGAAATTTTACGCCAAATGTAAACTTCAAACGCTCAATCTTAATTTATTGTTTTGGTGAAAACATGACTGGTGGTTAATTTGTTTTCTTGAATCATTGTTAAATACCACAAGTTTAATAATTGTTTAATATATTTTAAAACTAGTATAAAAGCTGTTATAATTGAGTTGTAAAATCACAAACTTCGTAGCGGTTTGACGTTTGACGTAAACGTCAATCTAAAACTATCCAATACTTTCATACTTCTCGCAGATTTTCAATTTCCAGAAACACCTATACTTTTTTTTGTTCTTATAGTACCATCCATCAATGTTTCCATTTGTTACCTTATTGGCTATTAATCCTATTAGTACAATACTTTCGTTATTTCGCGATCGTTTGCAAAAATCCCAGCTGTTGTTTCGACTGCATGCAAATATATGTATATGTCAATATAAAATTGCAAATATCACATTCGAAATGGGTTAGCCATGCACCAGACTAAAGATCTTGATCAGGCTCGCCCCAATGGTATGTCTAAAACACTGAGCAAAATGTTTTCGTGCTAAACGAAGTTTCAACTTTCAACGAAATGGAGTTCTTTAGTAAATTTCGCGTGTTATGAAACTGACTTGTTGATGGTGCTGTGGACCATTATAGCGCTAGCCATCCATTATAAAGGAAACTTTTGCTTCTGTGAATAATGAGAATCGAGGCATGAAGCTATTGGTGTATTTAAGAAGCTAGGAAGGCTGACCAATTTCTATCCGGACAATGCGTTTTACGTCCCAACAGTAACCAGTAAGGGGCGTGTCAGCAACACCCTTTCAACTCTAAGCGGTAACTGGAAATATGTTTTGGCCGTCTTATTTGAAGCCATTCATGATGGACGTCATGTGGGTATGGCGCCGAAAATACCCATTACTTGCACTTTATTTGAGCAAGGAGGAAAGGTCAAAATAAACAATACCTATACTTCAACACGAAACAAGTTTTGGGACCGTCGAAAAGTTTTAAAGTTATTTTGTTGGGAGTCGAGAAGTGAAGAGTTATTTTTAGGCTCGTTCAAACTTGTGCAATATTTGGAATAGAAAACTGTTACCCCAGATGTATTTTGCACTTGCTGGATGTAAAATGCTTAGAACTATCCAAACTAAATGCTTAGAACTATCCAATTGAAACTTTCTGGTCATAAAATTAATTTTTCGACTTATTTTGGCTAAAAATGACAAGGTTTGGAGAGAATTTAACTCTTTCCAGTCCTCTTCTGAAAGTCAGAGTTTAAACGAATACAAGGAAAGTCGTACAAAGATTTTAAAAAGAGCGAAGGCTAACCAATCACATGGCTTATTACCAAAACCACGTATGCCTCCTCTCGCCCGAAAAAAACGTGTAGTCTTGTTTTGCGTCAAAACATTCAGGAATGTGACTACAGTCCTACGCCTTCTTACTGCTAAAATCTCAAACGAATGTAGCTAATTTGGGCACATTTTCCCGCAAACCAATCAGATGTCGCAATATTCAAATTGGCGATTTCACGACTTTATAGGAATGTAGTCGCATTCCTCGATTTTTGATACGAAAACGTGACACAGTTTAACTTGCCATAAACGAATACTTGCAATAGTCACCTTTAAACTTATTTAAAACAGTAACCCTTTCAAGGGATCTGCTTTGAATGGGTCTGTTTTGAAACAATATTACAGCTACAATTTGTAAATTAACAGCGAAAACTAATATTGAATATTTGCGTATTAGGTTACCGGCATCGAAATTGGTATTATGTTAATGCTTCTCTCCAAATTACAGCAATAATCGTAATTATCTTTGATGGAATTAAGACACCTTCAATAGGAAGCCTATTTCGGGATACAGTTCCACTGTACAAAATCATGCATGCCTATTCGCTTTTGTCAAGAAATTTAATTTGGGCAATTCAACGTTTTACCTGAAATGGCTAAAAATTGCACTTTCTTTTGAAGTACGCGAATTGACCACACAACATGACCAGCGATCCAAGGATTTGTTTGGTCAATACTCAGTTCTGACCGGACAATGTCGGATGACCGGCCGTTATTTCAAACTCTGTGGCACTGGTACATTTGTGTATAGCATATGTACTATCCAGTCGGGTTTTTTTTTGAGATTAGTGTCGCTCGCATGCCAAGTTCTGCAGCTATACTAACACAAACTTCCTTATTTCAGGAAGAAGCATTCGCTCTATGGCAACAACAATGGGCAAGGTTATATCCAGAGGGATCCAAATCGCGTGAAATTATTGACACAATTCACGACAACTACCTGTTGGTCAACTTGGTCGATAACGATTATGTCGCTGGGAATTGTTTGTTTGAAGCAATAAAGAAAGCTGTTGAACTGGTAGACACGAAGGAACAAACCGATCCATCCGTCGTAACCGAAGATGATGGTATTAACTCTGGCTAGACCAGTAAAGCTTGTTGTCTTCATCGGAATATAAATAATATGCTTGCGCTCAAAGAAATTCGATTCACTTGTTGGAATACTATATTATTCTCGCCAGGCTCAGCCGTTACGCTATATCGAGTATCGACCTACAATGTGGACTGTACTTCTCCAATATACCGTAGTGTATTTGCGAAAGACTTCTGACGATGTCCATCAGATCTACTGAACCAACATGTCAGTTGTTAGAGGGCTGCGAGGGCTTCACATATATAACTATAAGTCTTGCTATATTATATAATACCTCTCAATGGTAATTTTTACGAGTACAAATTATTGTTAATGGACGATACTCAATGCGCTAGACGTAAAAATTATAGATTTAAAATGTCTATGTTAAGCCAACTCGAAAGCTACTATTGTCTAAACAAAGGAAGACTCTATCACAGACTTTCATTATTTGCTTGCCAAACCCGTAGGCTACTACACCCAGTATCGTTTATTAATTATTGTCCAAACCACTATGTTTGACCTATTCATAACTATAACAATGAAACTATAGTTAAACATGGGCAGATATCCGAGTTAGCTTTATCTGCCTATATCATTCTTACTTGGATTGCGAGCTGTAAAGACTGATTTAAAAAAAAGTCATTTAAAAAGTTAATCGTTTCACGTTTATCATTTCTAACCGTCCACCAAAAATAATGCCAAGAGTTAGCAAACCACGATCACGAGTTCGTCAGCAGGATCAACGACCATCCAGTATTCAACCGTCCGTCGAAGTACCGAGCAATTTGGGCGAGTTATCAATTTTAGAGTTGAAGAACCTTTGCCGCGAACTCAACTTTTCCTGCGCTGGCGGCCGACGGGTACTTACAACGCGTCTACAAAACGAAAGAGAACGTCTAAACACGAATACGCCGCAATCCAACATTCAAACCGTTCCAGTAAACAACGCGTTATCTAATTCCAACGCAAGGGAAAGCTTCAGCGCCGACCAACTGGCACAGATCACGCAGATTGTTTCGCAGTCGATTTCGTCTTTCTTGGAAAGCCAACACGCCACAACAACCGCGACTCGTGTAGATGAGCAGCCAACTATCCCGCCACCGCCAACGCCACTCGAAAGGCTAGAACAGCTTGGTCAATTTCCATTTTTAAGTTCCAGCGAGCTCCAGCAGCAGCCGACTTCATCCCATGGACCTGTTGCCTCAATCCAGCAAACAGATGGGGGATTCACGCCAGAGATTCCAAACAAATACGTTCGTGACATC